TTCCTCTTTGGCAGTGGAAAAAGTTTCTTATTACTGAAAAAAATTAGCTAGTTATAGAATACTTTGCTGTGAGAGTCAGCAAAAAAATAGCTGATTTGTGCTGTTTCAAAGGAAATATGTTGCAGCTGAACACAAAAACATTTTCCTAGCACACGCTTCTTCAAAGCAAACTATTTCCTTGATGTGGTGTTTCTCATCATATTTTTCTGTTGCTGTTTAAATAGGATTTAAATGGTGGTAAAATAATTAAAGGTCAGAATTCAGGCAGAGGTGCTGTAAGAATTTGTTTATCCATGTATATACACATGGATGTAACACTTCCTGTGAGTCATAGGAGAAATTCCAGATAAAAAGCCAAGATTGTGATTTCTTTATGTACATATTATATGCCCTAAGTGATGTTTCTAGAATTGAAACCTGAATTACATCTTCTGTTTAAAGCTTCGTATTTTGTATACAAAACCTGAAAATGTTATGATGCCAAAGTATCTTACAAAACTAGGAGAAAAAAAAGTAACATTTTAACAACTCAAGTACTTAGCTTCACATGCAGATGTCCTAATAGGTTAAGGTGTATGTGTTATTTTATTTTGCAGGCTGAAGCCTTACAGAAAAAATGTTGTGGCCAAATGTGTAGGTATTTTTTTTCTCTTTTCTTCATGTTTCTTGCATTTGTAAACCTTAGGAGTCCTGCTAAGTTGATATGCCCATCTCTTCCTAGAAACCCAGCAAAGACATACTCTGCTTGTGCTCCTAAGTGTCTGTGGAATTCTAACAGATACTTTTAAGCTTTTATTGTAAAATCCAACTCTTGTAACCTCTTGCTGCAGCTTGAAGAGTGGATCAGATAAACTAATGGCATTTTCAGTCACACACTTTGAGTGTGTCTGTTTCATCTCCTTATCATTTTCTAATGGTTGTAGGCACACAGTAAATGTGTGTGTGTGTGTGTGTGTGTGTGTACACAGGCATATAGATAACTTCATGTTTCCTAGATTGGTTTTCAGGTGTTAGAAGGAAATACAAATGCTTCTTTTGAGACTTGATTGTGATTAAACTTCTACTTAGGTTTGGAGTAATACATTGTAATAAAGCTTTAATGTGCAATAGTTGACTGTGGACAAGACTCAACAAAGCTGTTGGAAAACTGTGACATCTCTTATTTAGCTTGGATTTAACTCTCTGAAGTGAACATATTGGAAAATATTAAACAAGTGTCCCTTTCTCACAACTGCAATAGAATTCTGCTAAGCACAGCTGTGGGATGGTGACTGTTCAACACTGTACAAGGGTTTAGATAATTCAAATGTAAGCACCTAATGCTAGTCAAGATGCCATAGTGTATCTTAGCTGGTATCCTGCTTCTACTCCAAGGGGATTTGGATCTAATGTGTTTTCTAGTGTCAGCCAGGCTTACAGGAATGTATATATTTAGCTAACAGAGTTTAACACTCAGTTGTCCAAATTAATGTGTTTATTTACTTCCTTGTTGTTTCTAACTAGTGGCCTTTAGGCCAAACTATTTGGAGTATAAAGTAATCTTTTTGTCAAAATATGACCAGTCTTTCTGGCTATTTTTAAACCCTTGAATTTTGTGTGGCTGGAATGTACTGTAGTTTAGGCTTAGTAATTTTTTTTTTTTCACAGTATGGTGGCGACATTACAAGAAGAATGAAGCTTTTAAGGAGGCAAGCGGAAGGCAAGAGGTTGATGAGAAAAATTGGCAATGTTGAGGTTCCAAGAGATGCCTTTATACGTGTTCTAAAGAGAGAAACTGACAAATAGAGATCAGTGACATCTGATCTTCCAGATCATGTCAGCTTTTTGCAGACAGCAGCAAAGTGAGCTAATACGGGATTTATCACTGTGAGAGGGAACATACTTGACTTTAAATGGTATGAATTTACTATGTATGGGAAGATGAATTGACTTAAAAATGTACATATAGTTGTAGATTATTATGAAATTAAAGTTACTTGACTGCATCTAAAAGTTCACATTATATTGTCTTTTCATTTTATTCTGCTGTTTTCATACTTTTAACACTTAAAATTAACATAATTTTGGGGGTTTTTTTGCATTGCAAGTCTCTAAATATAGAGAGGAGCCACATGGCAAGAAGGTTATAGAAATCATTTAAAGGTATGTATAGACAAACAATGCTGTGTTGGTTTGGTTTTTTTTCTTTTAAGGTTTGAACTGTTGACACAAAAGTATCAAGCTGTTTCCTGTTTCACTTTCTCTAAAGTTCCTGTTGTCAGGAAATCTTGATGCTGGGAAACCACAGATGAAAAAATCAAAACTCTTTAAATTTCCCATGCTGTTTATTTTAAACCAGTTGAAGTGTGTAAATTTACCATTAGTTCAGCCTAGCTGTGCTCATCTCCAGGGAAATGGTAAGTTTTCATATATTAAAACACAGGATCTGTAACTGGTCTATTAGTAAGACCAATTCAGGCTTTAAATAATTATTTAACATGAAGGTTTGGTTGTAGCATGTCTTGGTGTAGTTGGTGAAGTTTTATTTATCTTGTGTACATACTAAAGTTTGTCAGTGCATCCCCAGTTAAATGCTGCAGTGTAGTGTGCGTAACATGAAGTGTTACTTTTGGAAGTGTTCACAAAGCAATTATAAATATAAGTTAATGACCCTACTGTACACTGTGTTTACAACTCTTTACCCACCTCCAGAAGCTTTTAAGATGCATTAATTTTTTTGATCTTCAGGGACTAGTTTTGCTCTTCACAAACCTTAATTTCATTATTAAATATTTATTAGAGAATAAATTGCTAGTCATACCTACTAAAGCACTCAATCACCAGGAAAGCCTGCCCTTAAATTTAGGCTTGTACCTACACTTTAATCATAAACTAGTTTTATTTCAGCCCGCATACAAGGAGGAACTGGGAAAATCCTTGGAGGGATAGAATGGAACAGGACATGTTCAGGACATGTTCCCTTTCAACCTGTATTAGTTTCAGAGTGTAGAAAAAGGGGAGAGAGAATTCTGATACTTTAGTGGTTTGTTGGGGCTTTCTTCTCTTTGGTTGTGGTTGTTCGTGTTTTGGGTTTTTTTTTATTTGAAGCTGTTTCAGGTGCACTGAAAAACCAAAGATTTGGATGTGAACAAGGTATCTGTACCTTTATTAAAGGTACCTAAGCTGCTGCTACTGACCCTGAGAAAGGAAGGATGCTGTGGATAAAGACTCTCTAACACATTTATTATTCCTCCCTTGTAAAGGCTAGCATTTCAGGAACTACAGCTGCAGGGAGCTAGGAGCTAAGGAGCTAAAAGAAGGTCTTCCCCACTCCTTGAACTAGACCTACAAGCACTGGTTCTGTACTGAGGAGTAAGGCAGAAGCTAAAGATGAGCTAGAGATTATCCAAACAGTGAATTATATCCTTGTTGAGTGACACACATCAAGTGTATGTTACCTAATTGAATGAGTTACATAGATGGATAGAGCTGCCTTGAGAATCTGTTTTAGCTTTACTATAGTCACCTGAGGCAGAAAAAAATACAAATTGTAGTCTTAATTCTGAGAGGACTTGTACATATATCAGTTTTCAGAACAAGAACTTTAAATGAACTGTAAAGTGCTTGTAAAGTACATGAAGTATTAGTTTTTGACACAAATGTACTTGATTCTATCTAGTTAGTTTTCCATTTCCCCCTTTCCTTTGGAAGTACCTTTAAATGAGAAAAAGAATAAAATGGTAACTTTAATGTGCTAGGCTAACTTAGAATTTACTTTTAAGACCACCTGAACTTGAAAATGCTTGCTTTGCCATTACTGCAGAGTAGCAGGTTAAATTTTATGCAGCCTGAAGGGTTGACTTGCTCAAGTTTGGAAGGTACTCTCCTGAAGAAATGATCTTTCATAAAATGATTGGAAGTATCTTAAGGAATGAAATAATAGAAACAGTGTGGTAGTACTTAAAGAATTACATAATATAGCACTCAAAATTTAAAAAAAAAATAGTGTAACAAGAGAAACAAGCTGGAAAACAACCAAAAACTCTGCATTAAAAGAGGCAGTAACAGTCCCAGACCCACTCAAGGACAGACAGCTTCTGCTGTACCATATTTAAACTGGCTTGTGTTTCACAGAAGGTCGCGTAGTTAAAACGGGAGAAAGATACTAATTCTGTGATCTGGCACATCTTGAGAACACAGAGGGCTTTAGTGAGTAAGGGTGCCAAGCAAGGCACGGGACTGAAAAGTGTGTTGGAATAAAGAACAAAAATACTGTTTCAATAGAATTATCCATTTTGGCACGTGAAGGATAATGATCATCAAGATTAAACTGATTCAGTTCCTTTAATACTAATTTAAATTCTTTACTACTTTTACTTCCATGCTTTTTGTAATAGAACTGTTTATAAACTTGCTTAGCTGTAAAAGCTAATGGCAAACCTAACACTGCATTTTGAGTCATACATTACCTGTAATGGCATTCTTCTGAAAGGCAGTATTTTCATCTTTTTTCCCCCACAATGTTGCATTATGCTTCAAAAATACACGTGCATAAACCCAGCCTTAAAGCTGAAAACCTGTTTTAAATGTGCGGATGTTCAACACTAGGCCTGGCTTCCTACACTGCTACAGACAGGTTCTTCCATGTTTTTGTAATTTCACAAAATCAGAGAATAGTCCAGATTTGAAAGGATCTTGTAAGACCATTCATGAGAAAGGTGAGCCTAGATGAGCCTAGAAAGTCACATAGATGATAGGTGAGCCTACCACGTCCCTGGGGAGATAATATGATTTTGTAATCAAGACTACGTGCCTGTCATTTGGGAGAAAAGTTAAATTGTTGAAGTTAGCTTAGTTGTACTTTCTTGCAGTGAGTATTTTCAACAAGGACTTTCCCAAAAAAAGTCTTCATCAGTAAACTCTTTATCTTTCTCCTTTGGTGCCTAATCACTCCCTGAAATTCTGAACTATTTACTCACAATAATTTATATTAGAAATGAAACAATTTTGAAACTAAGAGATTTATATTTAAGTTTTACTTATATTCAAAGTAGGAAATAACATTCCTTGTAACAGCTCAGTGTTTATAATGATACAATGAAAAAGTGATTAACAGTTGGCTTTAAATGATCATTTGCAGACATTATAGTCCTGTAAATTAAGCTCTTTTCAGGCATTTAATTGTAACATCAGTTATATAATTGGCCAGGTATCTCCAGGAAGGAACGTTGATATTTCTTCCTCATGTATAAAGCTTGATTACCAAAAATATAAAAACCCTAAAGTAATTTGAAGTACATGAGAGGAAAAAGTGCAATTGTGTAAGTTTAATATTTTTATCCATGGAGCAAGTTGTAACTTCCAAGAATTTGGTGTATTTTTAGGCACTGTTTTTGTATCTTCATTTGCCCAAAATATACAGCAGGACTTGAGATGCCCAAAAACTGTTTAAGACAAATTTAAGGCAACCAAGTGCAAAAGCTCAGTGTACATTAGATATATGTAAACAGAATATTTCATAGTAGAAATTGTACAACTATTACAAGTCCATAGTATTAGCAATGGCCAAAACCATTCTGCCTAGAGACACAAATGCAAAATGTAGTTACACTAACCAAGCTAAAAATTAAGAATTCTGGGAAATGAAGTGTCATCATCTCTAACATGAGGCAGATGCAATACATTGCTGTGCTGGAGTAAGTGCTCTGCTTTTCTCGTCTCTACAGAACGTGCAGTCTCTCCCAAGTTTGTTCTGTTCCATTTAGTGATGTACAAGCCAACAGCGGAGCTCCAAATGTTAAAGCAAAATGCAGAACACAGCAAACAGATGGAATGTGAAGGTACGGATATTGGACCTTTTTAAAAATACAGTACCTAGGATTTCCCATTTTAAACAGTTTTCAGCATATTGCATAGCAGTGAACTCATCTGCTACCTAAAACTGTTGCTGATGACCCACATGGAGTTCCTCTTCAGTCTTCTTTCAGTTTTCTTTCATACTGTACAGTGGGTCCACAAGCTTATTGTGCACATGCATTAAACCTTGAGGGGAAAGCAACAATGCCAGCTTTACATTAGTTGTACTTTGTTAATATGTTCTTCTATCCACATTTTTATTTGGAATTTGCTTCAAAGTATACATTTTAAATAATTCATTGAAAAGAACAACAAAGGCTGTTTAAAGTAGTTCAGAGTCAGAGACAGCAGATATATTCCTGTATCACTTGCATACTAATGACATATACAGTATCAGCTGAGCAGGGACCAGACAGTTCCTTGATAACAGACCCAAAAAACGCATCTGGAATACTTCCAAATGAACTGAATATATCTTTCATGTATTAAAACCTGTGTAACAGCAATGTAATTCCCTCACACCAGAATTTGCCATAAAAATCAGATACACACAATAGTGACAGCTTGAGTTCTTTTGCAATGTTCTAGCATTGTGGTAATACTGTCTTTGTAATAATCATGTACTTGTGGTCCTAGACAGACAAAATCAAATTGAATTATCCAGACTCTTCGTGCAGACTCAATTTCAGCAGTTCAACTGTTTTCTCTTCTAGCTGGGCTTTTTCTTGTCATATTCAAGTCCTCCACAACTACGATTAGGGAACTTATTTTTTTTCCTCTTCAACTACTTTAATGCTGGAAAATGCTGAAGTGCAATTAATAAAAAAGATGCTTCCTTCTTAACTTTGCTATAACTTAGTAAAAATGTTACCTACATCTAGGTGTGTATGACATTGGATCACTGGCAGGTTTTTAACCTCATTTCACCTTGAGGACTAATACCAATAATGATCAGTGTTCACAATCCACAAAGTAAAAGTCCATTTTAATATTGAACTAAAGATTAAACTTCTAAAATTAAAATATGCAACACTAATTTTCTTAAAAACCATGAAAGAAATCTCACATTACTGCATATTTATTATCTATGGCAAAGAATATTCAAATACCTCTGCTACATGATGCAGCTGGTAAGCAACCTTGGTGTCACTGCAGCAATGTGAACTTTGCGTTAACTGTACAATCTAAGGTCATTACTGTAGGTGACCATAAAAAAAGGCATCTATTACTAATCACTATGTGATTATTTAATATAAAATACAGATGCTAGATCAAGTGTAATATTTTTTCAGTTTAACAGTGACAAGAAAGTATACATTTGACATAAAAGTCGTTTGTCCAGAAAGAGTAACAGCTGCATACACTATGTAAACTACAAACATGTTTTGAGCTTTAAAACATTTAACTTCCTACCAATATTTTACTCTTCTAAAAAGGGGAAATGAAATAATTACACACTTCCTAGATGCATGAAAAATGGTTACCAGTATAGCTTCTGTCATACTTAATGAAGAATATTTAAATCCTGTTAGTCAAAGTGTTACAGGAAAAACAGTGAGAAACAAAAGATTTTTTTTAAAGGAATGCACTTGGTAATGCCAAAACAATTATTTCAAAGGAAAGTCCCACTGGATATTCAAGCATGCTTTGAATAAACAGATTTCTGCACACAGTTTTAAGACGAGCATGTATAAATATGGCAAAAACTATTCTGAACTAACTTATCTACAGATAAATCAGTAAATTCAAAATTCATTTTCTGTTTCATTCTTCAAGAAAGTTGCAAGTAAGACCATAAGCACGCTTGATAATTTTAGCCTATTATAGATTTTCAGAAATTTGGAAAAAATGGAATAGGTTAATCTATTTACCTGCAAGTGTGGTACTTGATTATAAAACAAAAAAGAAATGCAGTTGCATATTGAAAGTTTTAAGTGGTGAAAAATCTCCATAAATCCATAAATACTACCATAAATAGCAGTATTAAGAACTGCCTAGCTTCCCTAAGAAGTCTAACCTTAAGATCAAGATTGAGAAATAATTCCAAATTTGACCTACACTGACTTCTCCATCTTACAAGGGGAAAAACTCACTGATGTGAGAGTAGGTAAAATTAAGTAAGTTTAAAGTAAACCATCATTTTAAAAGTTCTATTGCTATGTATTACAGGGTAATTAAATACAGTGACACAATAGCACACATTCATAAATTGTAGCCCTTGATGTTTTTTAAAGCAATGTTCAGTGTAATTTATATTTAGTGATTCTACATTAGGTTTGTATTTCCCAAGCAAAGCCTCTGCTTATATAAAATACAGGATAATGTTTAAAACTTATCCAAGCAGTTAGAGAAGTTTATCTTTGAAAAGAACAGTAAGTGCTGTCTAGCAGTGTGATACAAGAAAAGACTAACCCTCCCTCCTGCCCCCACAAATACATAGCAGAGAACAGCATACTGAAAATTTCAAAATTAACAAGCTGGCCACAAGAGGTATCAGGTTAAATATCATAGAAATGTCCAAATTGCAATCCAATACATATATGAGCACTGTTGATATAATGCTCTAAAAAAGAATTTAATAAATTACAATCTTGATCTCTGATACCTCAGCTACTACAGGTATCCATGCTAGTGAGAACAACAACTGAGTCACACAATTGCATGTGCTGTGCTAGTACAGTCAGGAGAAAACTACTTTCCTCAGCTTCTGCTGTCTCAGCCAAACAGAATTCCGTCTAGGAAGTCTCCATTACTATCAAATATCCTGACTTACTTTAAGTTTGCCCCAATATACTTACTACAAATACGGAAAACACACACAGTAAAAGGGTGCAATGTTTTCAAAGGCAGTATAGATTATTATGCTAATTGCACATGAAAAATGTTCTGAGGTGGCTTCAAAGTCTGTATCACAGTTCACTAAGCATCACATTACAGCACACAGCAGAAGCAGCATGGAAATGTATCAGGATTAATAAATGTATTAAGATTTTTTTAGACTAAACTTTCCAGTGTACTTAAGACCTGTATTCTGGAACATGAGATGACTGCTGTTTAAAGTTAAAGATTACTAAACTATTGTTTCAAACTATAAGCAAAGGAAATACTCTTCCCAAGTAGATTTGTCTGGAATGTAGGTAGCACAAGTTATGCCCCCTGGCAACTTTCCAAACACAAGAAATAAGTTAATATTTATATTTTGACTATATAACATTATACATTAGTGACTGCAGAGTGTTGTTGGAAGGCTCAGATTTAAATCAGTATAATTTCAAAGCTCTCGGTTTTGCATAAACACGTGACCTCTGATTCAGTGCTCACCTTTAAAGTACTTCACAGTTTTAACTCTTAGTTCTAAAGTAGCATCTTCATCACACACAAAGATAGTGCGAGGGTGTTGCTGGAAAGCAGAAACTGTCCACATATGATTGACTCCTTCTTCAATTGCTTTGTACAATGCAAAAGCCTTGTGTGCACCTGTTATAAGAATCATCACCTGCAAAACAAAGGTCTCTTTACTTTCAATCCCAGTATCAATACCAACTAATCTTGAAAACACACATGCAACTAGAACTAAATGAGTTCTTACTTCTCTAGCATCCATCACTGTACCCACACCAACTGTTAGCGCCATAGTTGGTACTTTAGATAAGTCTCCATCAAAGTATTTAGCATTTGCCAAAATGGTGTCCATTGCTAAAGTCTTTAATCTTGTTCTTGAAGACAAACTTGATCCGGGTTCATTGAATGCAATGTGGCCATCTGGACCAATGCCTTTTCAAAGTTAAAAAAAATAAATCATTCCAGACCTGAGAGTCAACACATATCCTCAAACATTGTAAATGAATAAAAAAGGCCTCATCCTTTCCTTTTGCTTCCCCATTTTCAATAAAAACTTACTTAAGTCATTAGAAACTTGGACACCAACCATTCTGTTTTGGAATTTATAATGATTCTTTGTTAGTCACAGAACTTTCTTACACAATAATTGAAAAATCTGGGTTTTAGTCAAGCCATGAAAATAGTGATGAAAGAATCGGTGTACATGCTTGAATTGTAACTAACCATAGAGCATTTCCTCATACCTCCAACAAACAGATCAATCCCCCCTGCTTCTTCAATTTTCTTTTCAAATGCATCACATTCCGCCTGCAAGTCTGGTGCATTCCCATCAAGGATATGAGCATTATTTGGATCTATGTCAATATGCTTAAAGAAGTTATTCCACATATAGGAGTGATAGCTCTCTGGATGATTTCTGGGAAGCCCTGAAATGATTTACAGTGAAATTACCATAAGACAAGATTTAACCAAACAGCCTTAATTTTAGTCTGTATGTAACAGATGTAAGGCATGCAAGGCAAACCTGAATCAAATAAAACAAGATTTGAAACTACATCAAGAAGAAAGGTTTCCTGTTGGCACGTAAAAGGTAACTGGTGTATATTCCCTCCACATACATCTTATCCCAGAGTGTAAATTCTTCAACAGAAATGCAGTCCCAAATTACATGACAACATAGTTTCTACAGAAGTACTGTGAAACCCTGGATTTAGCCTGGTGTTTATTTCTGTGGATAAAAGAACTGAGAAAAATGCTGGGACACCAGTCTAATATAGGAATACAAATATACTAGACTAACGTGGTACTTTGACAAAATATTTAACAGTTTTTATTAAAAAAAAATTACAGTATGTTCTCAAATAATAGCACATCTTACCTACGTACTCATCCATGTTGAAAGTCTTTACATATTTGAAAGAGAGATCTCCATTTTTGTGATATTCTATCAGCTTTTTGTAGCATCCCAACGGTGTACTCCCTGTTAAATAAAGTGTTTCTACTGTTCTGTGTATCTGCACATATTCAATGTATTTAAATGTCTTCGCAGTCAAATTTTGTTACAATGATTTTCAACATACAAGCAATCTGCTGTTTCTCATTTAGTATTTATCAGTTTCTCAAACTATCACAACTTTTCACAGAAATCAAATCCATATATTTTTTTTAAAAAAGTTAGAATATTACCAAAAATACTTATGTTCTTTTAAATACTGTATCTGCTACCAGTGATACATTGTTCTAGGCTTAGTTATTTACAAAGACTTTGAATAAAACTTGCCTGTTGGTAGACCAAGCGTGAAATATCTTCCTTGACTTGGCTTGAACTGGATAATACGATTACAGATGTATTTGGCTGCCCATTCACTAGCCTGATCATAATCTTCAAGAATTACTAGCCTCATTATGGCAGTGAAGAACTTGTATGATAAAGCAAACTTAAACCTGGAGAAAATGTTGAAGTTTTAAAAATAAGCACCACATGAGTAGTTGCAAAACTCTTAGATTACAGAGGAGATAAAAAAATAATCTTCCATACCAATGACTTGCATTAGCATAGCACACTCTTGCAGTCCTGGTTCAAGCTGGACAATCAAGAGAAAAGCTACAGAATCCAAATGATATATTACAGTCAAAATATTTATTAAAATCCACAGACTAATTTAAAGCAATTAACAGGAAAAAGCTAAAACAAGATGAAACCAAGCCATCTTGAACTTCAATATTTTTGTCATTACCATCAGAGAAGAGGAAATACTTCAATACCAAGATTAATTCCTGTTTCTTATGACCAGCTGAATGCCTGCAACTTCAAAAACAAGACCCAGAGTAATCCCATGTTTCTATAATCAAAATACTTAATTGGGACTAAATAATTAAAGCTCCTTTCACTCCCATTCTAGCTCTTTAACAATGCTTCAGTAAGTTTATTAATCTGAAAAAAAAGTTAAAGCATTAGAAACATTTGAAATGTTCATAATTCACAAGAAAAAATACGATGTCACATTTTTTATTTGCCACATACATTTAAATAGACATTTTAAAGGCTCTAAGTGCAATTGTATTAATTTTTAAGATGAATATCCAGAAAGCAAGCTTGGTTGCTAGAAGGATACAAGCATCTCTTGCATTTAAATGAAACTCATGTTTCCATGAGTTTCTGCTTAACAGCATCCGGTAATTACTCCAGAAAGAGTGGAGGCTCTTTCCCCAGTTTGGGATGTGTTACTCTTCTTTTCCCAGGTCTGGGTGTGCTCAGCATTAGCCGGAACACAACACGGTTGCCAGAAGCCTAGAACCACTGACCACACTACTATGAGCGGCTGATTTCAAAACAAATATGAATTAAAGTGCTTAACCGTGTTTGTGCCACTAAAGCAGGAAGAAAGTAAGTTATCATCACCGTGTGCTGCCTGTGCTGCTCCATCTCCCTGGACAGCTCAGCCGTGACAAGTCACACTCACCTTTGCCGAGGAAACGCTATTCGCACATACCCAAGAGTTAACACACATCCCCGAGAAGGAAAAGCATGCCATCAGGAACAGACTGCGCGGCTTTAGGCCGGTTTCATAAAATCCCAGCAATTTTACGCTGGGAACACGGGGATGCTCTCAAGAGCAGGGACGCACGGACACCAGCAGAACCACCGCGAATTTTCGGCTAAGGACACTGTTTTTTGTTTTGTCTGGCGAGGGTGGGGAGGGAGGGGTGATAAACCTGCGCTGGCAGAGAAGAGACCTGCAGCCGGAGCGCGGCCGGCACGGCAGCCCCGAGCCCCCGCGGCCTCCCCTTCCCCGCCCGCGAGCGCCCGCACGGCCGGCGACGGCGCGCCCTGCCCGGCCCCGCTCACCCGGGACAGCCCGCGGCGGCCACGAGCGGCACCAGGACGAGGACGAGATGAAGGCGAGGAGGACGGGAACCAGCTCCCGCCCCGCCGCCTCCAGCGGAACCCGGCGCGCGACCCGGAAGGGCCAGGCGGGGACGGGAAGTGAGCTCCTTTTCCCGTGTTTATTTCCGGGCCTGTGCGGCCGGGACGGCGCGGGAGCGAGGCACGGAGTGCTCGGCCAAGCCCAGCTGAGGGGCCTGGGAGCTGCTGCGGGCTCCGGGCGCTCCAGCCTGGAGCACGGCTGTGTTCCAATACTCCTCTTGCAGCCCCTCTGCTGCGGAGCACGCTGAGATCTTAATGGAAAAAATTTCCCCTATTAGCTAAATGTTTGCATGATGCAGCTGCAAGAGCGGTGCGTAGTTAGTGACAAAAATTAATGAGGTGAAGCGTCAACGTCTTGGTGAATCACAGGCTGGCCATAAGCCGGCGGTGCTCTGTGGGCAGTGGTGTCCTGGGGATACCATCGGGAGCAGTGTGGCCACCAGGCCGAGACCGTGATCCTGCCCCTCCACTCAGCCCTGCTGGGGCCGCTTCTGGAGCGCTGTGTGCAGGTCTGGGCTCCTCAGGCAAGAAGGGCAAGGAGCTACTGGAGAGGGTCCAGTGGAGGCCACAAGGATGATGAGAGGTTTGGAGCAGCTCTCTTAGGCAGAGACTGCAGGAGCTGGGCCTGTTTAGTCTGCAGAGGAGAAAACCGGGAGGGGGGTCTCATCAGTGCATATAACTATCACAAAGGTGTCACAGGATGGTGTCGGACCCTTTTTGGTGGTGCCCAGAGACAGGATGCGGAGTAATGGCCACCAACTAAAACAAGAAGTTCCACTTTGACATGAAGAACTTGTTTACCTTGAAAGTGGCAGAGCGCTGGGTCAGGCTACCCAGGGAGGTCATGAAGTTTCCCACAAAACACCCACCTGGACACATTCCTGTGTCACCTGCTCCAGGTGACCCTTGCCTCAGCAAGGGGGGGTTGGACCAGATGGTCTCTAGAGGTCCCTTCCAACCCTAAGAATTCTGTGATTTGCTTTCTGCTTTAAAAGCAGTCAAGTAATTCCACAGCCTTAGCTGAGCTGTAATTAAACAGGTGTGGGATGATAGATCTTGATGTGTGGAAAGGGCTAATAGTCTGAAAGGGTGGTGCTTCAGACTGGAGTGGGGAAACTGGAGTAGGGAGGTAGGCAAGCAACATAATTCTGAATATATGTGTATGCACATACTTGTAGGCTTCACTGAAGCCTTACCATACTAGAAGACCAGGATAAATCTGTTTACTGGGCAGGAGCATAATTGTCTGAGGAAAAACATGATTGAATGGTAAAACAGGGAGTTAATAAAGGGGAGTGTGTATTAAAAAAAAACATAAAAATCTGGGGACATACATGAGCATAATGATACTTTTTTTTTTTTGCTAGACTGAGGTCAGCTCAGTTTGTTAGAGCATGATGCTAATAATGCCAAGGTTTTAATGTGGGTTTGATCCCCATATAGTTCAATCATTTAAGACCCATCCTTGCAGGTCCCTTCCAACTCAGTATATTCTGTGGGTCTGTGAGCCTGTCTAGCAAGTTTTAGAAAGAGAAACTGTATTTCTCTTTCAAAGTATTGAGAAATACATTGCCAAGGGCATGAAAAGTGTGTTTGCAAGCCTGTGAGGGAAAATACATATTTCTGAGATCTCTGGGGCTTAGCAGGCAACCAATAAAAAATACCTTTTGTTTCAAACTGGCCTTTCATTTGAATTTAACTTTCTAATATAATCAGTTTTAATTCATGCATGTTCTTCTGACAAAGTCTTTGTCTCAGAAATTTTAGCAGGTCCTAAACAATATTGTTTTGCACCATTTCTTGAGGGATACTCTGAGCCTCTGCTGCTCTCATTGTTTCAGAGTATACTTGCAGTGGAGGTGATTTTCAGATTCTATGTAAGAATATATGTTTTGCCTCTAGATTTAAATTCTGGTTTTTTTCCTATCTCTGTGGACCACATGTAACACCTCAGTGGTAAACTACTTCTGCATACAGTAGACTAGTTAACACATTTCTTTGGTATTACTACACACCTAGGTACCTACAAGCCTGAAATCACACCCCTCCCCCAAAAGCTCTGTTGGTTTCTACAACTTGAAAATTCTCTTTTTTTTTTTTTCATCACTACAGAAGAACTCTTAAAATTCAGGTAATAGTCTCCCCCTTGTATATTCTCCAGGAGGTCTGAGAATATATGATGTACTGTTCCACACTTGGTGGAAGTTGTCATTTTTTCTACTGCCCCTAAATTTGGAACAGCAGCTTGTCTGTTGTCTTTTAGCAAACTTCACAATGCTATCAACTGCTTCTATTAGTTAGACAAAATTCCCTGTCTTTTGTAAACATATTAAATTCTTACTCTCATTGTTTGTATGCTAATACCTAGGGTAGACAAAATTCCCTGTCTTTTAATATGTCTTTAAACATATTAAATTCTTACTCTCATTGTTTGTATGCTAATACCTAGGGGATGATTTTCCAAGTCATTCTTCAGAATTTCCTTTCCAATTAGTAGCAGATGCTCTATATGCACTGAATGTTGTAGCTAATGTTACTAATTAAGATGCTGCTAAAAAAACCACCAATCTTAGTTCCTTATTATGTTTCACTGAGTAGCATAACTAGAAATTTCAAAATCTCATAGGTATTTATTATAAGTATCTGTTGCTTTTGGAAACAGCGATTTTATTTTCTAAATGGCCCCTTCTTTTAAGTATTATTTTACTTTACTCCTGCTTATCTGATTTGTATACATCTGCTGTGATCAGATGTCTTTTTTTTAAAAACCTGTGTTTAAGTAACTATGAATTTAAACTGGATGTACTTCAATAGTACCCAAACTACATTGAGTTTTACCTGAGGAGGGCCACCTCAACTCCAGGTGAATCCAGACTTTTAACATGATAGCTCTGTTCCTTCAGATTCCCTCTGATTTAGTTGGAAGAACAAAGGATCCTGCACAAATCTGGCACCTATGAAGGAAAATTACTCATATGGATGTTGACACGTAGGAAAGTCTCTGAGAACACAACAAAAAGGTTGCAATGAAAATACTTGCCATGGCATTAAATGTAGAGGTTGAGAAACAAGTAATTGCTGAAAACACTTTAAAAGAAAAAGACTCATTCTTATTACCTTGCTGAATTAAACACTTCTATTGAGTCTGGCTGAGGTGGGATGATATTCCCATAGCTTTTCTCACAGTGCTGTGCTTTGCATTGGTAGCTGGAAGGGTGTCAGTAACACTGCGGTGTTTTGGCTGCCGCTGAGTAGCCCTCCACAGCATCAAGGCTGTCTCTCCAACATTCCCCCTGGCCAGGAGGCTGAGGTGGGCAAGATCTTGGGAGGGGACGCAGCCAGGGCAGCTGACCCACTGACCAGAGGATATCCTGTAACAAATCTGCTCAGACACAGCATCTAAGAGTAAGGCTGGAGAAGGAAGGGTGTGGGGAGGAGAGAGACCGGTATTTGTTAATAACAAATGTGTTATTTGTTTGTCTTCTAAAGCAACTGGTACACACACTGAAGCCCAGCTTCCTGAGAAATAGCTGGACATCAGCTGCTAATAGGAAGTATGGAATAAATCTTGTGTTTGCATTTGCTTCCATGTGCAGCCTTTTTTTTTTTTTTTTTTTTTTTTTTTAAATCAAACTGTCATTATCTTGATTCATGAGGATTTTGTCCATCTTATTTTCTCCCACACTTCTGCTGAGAAGGGGAGTGATAGAGTGGCTTGGTCAGCACCTGGTGTCCAGCCAGGGTCAACCCACAACAATTCTGCTGTGTAACACCTGTGCAATCAAGCATAAGGATACAAAATAACATAGCAGCTGAGACCTTTCAGAGGTTGGTGACTGTGTGGGGAGAAGGGGAAAAACTGCAGTGAAGATTTTTTCCCCTAATTTTCAGAGCTCTGAAAGAATGTGAAGACAGTGGCAGTTACCCCTGGTACTTTATTTGATGCCACAGGGTCAATATCCACTGTTTTCCTGCCATTAAAACAGGAAGCATTATCTTCATTTCTATTCTGGACATAAGCCTGAGGGGACCAAATAGATTTGGCAGCTTTGCTTAGGTCTATCAAAGACTGAAGATGGTTTCACATGTAATCATTGCTGTAAGTTTCACATGTGCATTACATTGCTGTACTTGTTACAGCTTTCTTCAAAACTTCACTGTTTAGGTCTCACCACATTTCTATCAGCTGAGGTGTACATGGCATGTGATGTTTTTTGAGTTATGCATCCAGCCTAGGGGAACCATTTTCCAGTGAAATATGAAAGATGAGATTTTGTGTTGCCAGAACTGTGTCAGCAGATTCACAAATGAAGCACCTAGCTAATATTTAGCACCATCTTAATTTTCATAGGCAAGGCTTTGAGTCAGTTTGTGAAGCTCTATACAGGTAAGTACCCTATGCTTTTGTTTTCTGGTTTTGTTCTTGCAATGTGTTGATGCTTCCTGCATGGATTCTGGTGGAGTCTGTACCAAAACAGTCACTCAGTACCAGCTGGTTCTGAATGTAAGAGTTGGTCACTACAGAGTAAACAGTAGAGGTGATGAGTATTTATTGTACGATCATCCTGTTACCTTTTTGCTGGTGAACTCTTCAGTTCTTCTGAGAGTAAGGGTTCAGTGTGGGAGTTTGCTATTTGGTACTGCTTCATTTTGCTTTGTAGAAAAATCTGATGCTGACCATTTTCCTGTGTGCCTGAAGTACCAGGCTATTTCTCTGCAAGTCTCTCTGCCAGAACAAGCAGGCAGAGGTGCCTGCTACATTCCCTCCAGATCAGATCTTTGCCTTTTACTGATGTGTCAGCTGCATCACAAGTATGGGTGCACTGATTGATGGTTGGCTGCGCTCCTGCAGTGTGGAGCATTCTTGATGTATGCGGGGATGGTGAGAGAATTTTCTGATAGTGCTCTCAGCTGCTGATAAAGCCTGTTCCTTTCAGAGTGCACAGTTTAGACTGGGCACAGAAATATACAGGATGTGTTTAGTACTCCATGCTACTCCAGACATGCAGATGGGAAAAAGGTTCCTGTTTTTGTAGCCA